GTTTCAGCAGCTTGGCAGATTGTTAGCTCAAAGGAAAATTTGATTCTGATTCTAGATTACCAAAGGGAAAAAAATTGTCTACTCTACGGCCAGTTTGATAACAATCTTGTTCTTGGTTTTCTACTTTTAGGCTTATATAGAAACAATTGCTATTTCTACCGGTTACCACTGCAATTTTGGTCCCCTTTGAACGTCTAAGATTTCCAGGGCCCATTTGGAGTGTGTAAAGGACTGAGTACCAGGAAAAACACTGTTTGGAGATGAACCAAATTTTGAGGAGGGACATGACACAATTCAACAAGCTTATTTTCTGTAGACTAAAAATGTGTTTTTAAAAGGGGAAAAATCTAGACAACGAAATTTACAATTTCGGACAAGCTTAATTTTTAAAAACTAAAAACAAACATATGGGACCCTTTCATCCCTTGTATAGCCCCAAGAAGCTGGTATGGCCATTGGAATCATTTCGGTTTTCACAGGCTCACAGTCCATTCACTCTTCAAGGAAAATTGTCGACAAAGTTAGCTTGGAGAATCCCCCGCACAGCATATACCCAAAGAAGTGAGGTTCTTCTTGTGTGAGCTTAGCTGTGAAAACATAAACTCACGATGAGACATAAAAATGGCTTCCCACATGCTCCCTCTCCCTGTTCTTTTTTTTTTTTTTTTACTTTTTTAGAAATATCTGGAGACCCAAGGCCGTATCCTCTCAACTGTTCTTTTGCTGGTCATTTCTGGATTTCCATTCTCTTCGCTTTCAATTGGCAAGTGGCATGCCCACTAGATATCAAGGAGCTATACTTCCTATGTTTGTCGGCCACTCTTTTAGGGAAAAAACAGGAAATTCCTCCAGTTCGATAAAGCTTTCTTTTGGGATCTTTGGCTTGAAAGCAACAATATCATCTTCAATGACAAAGAAAAATCTTTGCTTTATAATCGAATGGAAGTTCATACTTTGTAACTCTTCACTATTTTCATGAAAAGTTTTGATTCTCAAAAACAAATACAATCTTGTGATAATTTCATAATACACTCTCCTTTTGTGTTCTTACATGGTGAAAATTTGATTCTCCTTTCAATGTTTTCTAATTTTTGTAAACTTAATTGTTATCGTATGGGGTCTAAGCAGCTCAATTACGATATGATAGTAAGAACTATAAGGCAAGAAAAATAAACCTCTCCGGCGGTTTTATTCAGTGCCCAGTTGAAAGCAGGTTGATCATTTGATTTCTTTGCTTTGGACCATGGCTGAGCTTTAAGTTCATCAATCCACTTCTTCATGATCAGCTTTGCTCCATTGGTGGGGCGTAAGAAAATCATGCAGCTGCATATGTAAGTGCGGCCCTTTTTCCCTGGAGGTGGCAAATCATGAGAGTGGTGCAAAGGTTTTACCTGTTAAGGCACGAGGACAAATAACCTTATGTTAATCAAACAAGGATGCATGCACATTTCATCAAAATTTAAGATGAGAGTTTAGTGTCACCACGCTTCTCAAGTTATATTAAGCTAGAGATCTACAAGTACCACATTTTCCAGTCAATTTGATTGATTGATCAAAGAAATTATCAAATATACAAATGTTTAACCAAAGGTGAAATTTCAAGAAGATAAATCCTCCAACATTTTTCATTAAATTTTTCCCGAACTTATTATGAATGTTTCTTTTTTGTAACGGTCCAAGCCCACCGCTAGCAAATATTGTCCTCTTTGGGCTAGAAAAATCCTTTCGGGCTTCCCCTCAAGGTTTTTAAAACGCGTCTGCTAGAAAAAGGTTTCCACACCCTTATAAAGAATGTTTCGTTCTCCTCCCCAATCGATGTGAGATCTCATAATCCACCCTCCTTCGGGGCCCAGTGTCCTCGCTGGCACTCATTCCCTTCAACAATCGATGTGGGACCCCTCAATCCATCCCCTTTCGGGGCTCAACATCCTTGCTAGCACAACACCTCTTGTCCACCCCCCCTTCGGGGGTCAACCTCCTCATTGGCACATCGCCCGGTGTCTAACTCTGATACCATTTGTAACGGCCAAATCCCACCGCTAGCAGATATTGTCCTCCTTGGGCTTTCCCTTTCAGATTTCCTCTCAAGGTTTTTGAAACGCGTCTGCTAGGGAGAGGTTTCCACACCCTTATAAAGAATGTTTCATTCTCCTCCACAACCGATGTGGGATCTCACATCTTTCTTACTCAAAGATTAAGAAATAAAAAATTAGAGTTTATACGCAAGGAAAGTGTAAGCAACACAAGTCCACAAACATTGCGTCAGATGAAATGGGAAAAAAGGGAGAGGAAAAGTTGTATGTACCGCAGCCATGTCATCTGTGAAGTACACATCATGTTTCCCTTGCAGATAAGGAAATGGATCAGCCAGCCATACCATATCAACATCATTGTACATAACATTATAACCAAGCTCCAAAATGTGTAGTAGATGTCGTGGTCTTCGGGACGTGAAGTTGAAGAATCCCTGAAAAGTGAAGACAATCATTTTCATTTCACATAGGCAGTCAATTTGGCTGAAGATTTTTTATTATTATCATTTTTAAAAAACTGAGCTTTCATTGAGAAAAAAATGAAAAAAATACAAGTGGCATCATGTTTAGAAAACACATGCAAGAATGAAAATGTTCATGACCAAGTGCTGCATTAACAAAACATCTTTGCCCAGGCAATCTTAAATGTGATGAGATATTGAACAGAGAAGCAACAAACACTAAACACTGAATATGTTTATATAAGCAATCATGTTTTTCGTTTCAAATAAAATAAATAAATTTACGCCTACGATAAAGAAACAAAATTTATGAAAGCACATAATGGAGTCACTGACCACACCTGAGAACCAAATTTATGAGCCGTTTGAGCATCAGGAGCTGGTGGGACGAGCACTGCATGCCCCGGCCATCGTTCATTCACCTTATAGAGCGTTGCATAGTCCTCTGCAATAACAAGAACTTTCTCGTGGTGCTTCTGCCGAGTAACACTAATCAACCAATTATTAAGGAACGGCAAGTAGGGTTGGCTCACAGCGCAAACAATCACAGTCCCGTTCCTAGCGACGAACGACGCAGCTTCAGCCAATGAGTATTCTCGCCATTTATCGTTCGAGATCTTGGAGCTTGAGAAAATACTCTCTTGTATATTCATCCAAGGTAAGAAGACCCCGAGAATCACAATAAGAGAAAGCAGAGCAAGCAGATTTAAAGGGCTGAATATGGAAAAGGATCTCTCAGAACTCGAAGAAGAACGAGGAGAAAGTGGGTACGAATTTGCAAGTGGGTTATGAATGGGTCTTTGGTGCAAGATCGACGGCATCTTCGTGCATTAAAAAAACACAGAACAGTGTGAAGCCGATGTCAAGTAAATCTCTAAAACTTTGAGCCAGAAGGAGGAAGATGAGAACTATCCACAAATCATTCGTCGTAGAATCAAATTGCAAAATCAATCAACAACATTCAAACAAGAAATGAACACAAATCAAGTGCAGATGAGAACTCCCATTCCATCAGGAGTACGAAAACTGAACTCTCAAGGCCAGATTCGAGCTTAAGAAACCAATTAAAAACCAATCTTAACAAACTTTCTGTGCCGATAATCGGATCAATCACAATGAGAGGAAACAAAACAAAAATGGCAGTGGGCAAACAGATCAGAAGAACTTAACCATGCGAAATTGCCACGGATTCAACCGCAATGATCAATGATCTGAAATTTTTCGGGCATGATTCAGAATACGAATTCAAAAACTAAAAATAACCATAAGAAAACGAGTTCATGAACCAAAATTACTAAGATTTACCTTGTCGTTGGAAATCGAGCTTCCACAGGGGCTCTGGTGCTTGAAGAGTGAGGATCTGAGAGGGAGAACAATGGAGAGTGGCGGTGGCGGGGAGCTGTTTTAGCAGTTTCTTAGCTTAATACTATTAGGCAAAGAAATAGAAGATGTGGACTAATTATGTCAATATGATATTTTGTGGGGGGTTTTCTGCAAATAGTCTTGGATTTTTGTTAAAACATTATAAAATATGATATTTTGTGGTATTTAATGGTGTGTGAATTTTCAACTACTCTTTTCTTAATTTCTTTTTAAATAATAAATTTTATTTTTATATAATTATAAAAGCTTTAATGGCAAGCTATTTATTTCCTTTTCATGAAAATAGAAAAGGATTGGGAAGGAAAATAAATAAATAAATAAACCCTTACAAATTTATTGATTTTTTTTTTAAATTAGTCGTATGAAAAAATTTAAAAATTTATTAGACATTTAAAAAAAAATAATTTAGCGAAAACACATATAATATTTAAAAAAAAAAAAAAAAAAAAAA